ATTGTTCTTTTGAGTTCCATGTCCTTCATTATCTCTAGGGGCTTCTCATTGTACTCCTCTAGAGGACTATTGGTATTTGGTGCAGATATGTTATTTTGGTGTTTCATGTTATTATTTTTTCTCTGTGATTTTGACATGTGAATTTCTTTTGTGGTTTCTGATTCTTGTGTGACACTCAACTCTTCAAGTTTAGGTCTGCTTCTTTTTGTAAACTTTATGTGTCTTTGTGATTTACTTTCTGGACATGAAAAGGTGACTCATCTAAGCTTCCGGTTCTCTCTTTTGAATTTATATTGGAGTGGCCAGATTGCTTTTGTCTTCAGGAGTTCCCACAGAGGCTCAAGTCAGATGAGGATCAGATGCTCTCAGGCTTTCTCCTAAGGTCTGGATTCCTCCAGGAAAGATTTTTAGCCTCAGGAATTTGGGGTTGGACTGGCCTGGGAGCCAGGCCCAGGACAGATGCTGGTCTCAGGCAGCTGGTGGCCTTGACACTTAAAGATGCAAAAGGAGATGGTGGCAGGAAGAGGCCCCAAGGGCTCCTGGGGACTACACTGAGGAACTGGGTTGGTCTGGATGCAAAGGATCAGGGAGCCAGAAGGTCAGCCCCAGCACCCAGGAAAGAGGCTGGTGGGTTGTTCAACCCAGGGAAGCAGAGGGAGGTGAGGGTGGGACCAGGCCCAGAGGGCTCCTGGGGACCACGAGAAGGAACTGGGTTGGTCTGGATGCAAAGGAACAGGAAGCAATAGTGGTTCCCCCAGTGTCTGGGGCACCAAGACAAGGAATGGGACAGGACCCAGGCTAGGAGGAGATACGGGTGGGGGAGATGGGATGGTGAATGAGGCTGGGGGAGTTAAGGCGTGGAAGGCATGATCTACTTACTACTGTGCCTTAGTGCAGGCCCTTTGAAGCTTTTTTATTGAGCTTTTTAAATTTCATACATTTCCCACTCAAATCCAGACCCCCCTCCCCCACTCATGCCTCCCCCATCATGCCTACCCCCATCAATACCTCCCCCTATGCTCCCACCAAACCCTATGCACTCTGCCATACATGCTGAGTCCTATTCATTCAGGTGTTTGTACCCAAATGTCCTTCAGTGTCAATGAGTCCACTGGAGTCTAGTCAGTCCATCTTGTGGTCATATGTAAGTCATACTTTCCCTCACCCAGCAGCAATCAGTCTCAAATAGTTCTCAAACCAGTTCTGGCCTGCCACCTATTTCTCACCTCCCCTTTGGGCCCTTGTTTAATTAAGCTCATATGGGTTCCATGCTCAACGCCACCACTGCCACAGGCTCACATAAGCAAGACTCCAGTGGCCTGGAAGCCTCTGCCTCCCTGTGTTCATGAACCAGCCCTGGCTCTTACAATCTTTCTACCCTCTCTTAAGGGCAAAAATTTTTGCCTATTCACTGATATCGCCCCAGCACCTAAAACACACCAAGCTATTATAAATTTTCACTAAATATGGATGGAATTGAATGACTACATGTTAATGATATAAAGGAGAAACTGTTGATAGTATAATGCAGTAATTCCCACACTGTGATACACTGGAATCACTTGGAAAGCTTTTTTAAAAATAATAAAAATACAAGTCACACCTCATGGCAGCTAATCTAAGGGATTGGAAGTAGAAACTAGGCTTCAATATTAAAAAAAAAAAAAAAAAA